ACACACACACACAGATACACACACACAGATACACACACATACACAGATACACACACACACAGATACACACACACACACAGATACACACACACAGATACACACACACACAGATACACACACACACACAGATACACACACAGATACACACACACACACACACACTCTAGAACTGGGGCAATACCTACGATGGCACTGATGCTCTTAGCTTTTATGGCTTTTCACCACATGCCAGGCACTGTGCTGAGTGTTCTCCACACAGAGCTACTCAGCCCTACCCCAGAGCAGGCAACTTGCCCGGGGCCTGAGGGCAGACCAGGGTTTGCACACAGGCAGCCTGGCGCCAGAATCCATGATTTTTGCCTCTCTCACACATGGTCTTGAACTCTGTACACACACACACACACACACACACACACACAGAGACACAGCCCAATACCAGGCACTGGCATCACCAAGGAAATGAAAGGCCCAGAGACCTTCTCTCCATCGATTCCTGGGGCACCAGGCAATCCGAGCTCGCCCTGGAAGGAAACAGATGGCAAGAGGGGTTATGCCTTCCTTTCCTAGCGAGGTGTCAGTAGCCAGAGGCCAAGACACACTGTGTGCCCGGCCCCGGGTGGGTCAGTACCCACCACCCCCTCTGTTTCCTCAGTCCTCACGAGCAGATGTAGCCCATGGCTATCACCGGTAAGTTGTTATGTCACAGATTCGGGTGCTGAGGCTTGGAGGGTTAAGTGACTGGCTTCAGGCCACAGAGCCCAGGAACGACGATGCCAGGACCAGATCTGCCTGACTTCAAAGCTGTTGGCTCTTTCTCTTGAGACAAACGGGCAGGATGCGAACGAATGGTACAGGCCACAGGGTGTGCATAGCTGTCCATCCACCGGACTGGTATGCGGCCAGAGGGGCTGGGTTTTCAGTTCTTTATTCTTAGCTAGTGGATACTTATAAAACACTACACCCAACAGCAGCTAAATATACATTTAATTTGTGTGCATATAAAACATTCAACAAGAAAGAACACTTTGACTCTAAAACAAGTTTTAATACATTAAAAAGATCAATGTTGTATTAAAAAGAATATGTTCTGGCTGGGCATAGTGGCTCACGCCTGTAATCCCAGCACTTTGGGAGGCTGAGGTGGGTGGATCACCTGAGGTCAGGAGTTTGAGACAGCCTGGCCAACATGGTGAAACCCCCCTCTCTACTAAAAATACAAAAATTAGCTGGGCTTGGTGGC